GGAATGCCGTTCTCTAGCTGACACTCAAATGTGGTTTCTGGGAGGCGAGTCTGAATCGGGGAAACAAGCCAGGGGCAGCAGAGCTGTAGGTAGCTCTTATTTGGCTTTTCTTCTGTGGCTGAACTAACCTCACTCTACTCCGTTAGGTCACCCATGCTGTTGTTACTGTGCCTGCCTACTTCAACGATGCTCAGCGTCAGGCTACAAAGGATGCTGGTACCATTGCTGGGTTGAATGTGATGAGGATAATCAATGAGCCGTAAGTGACTTTTTTTAATGGTATTTTAGTTTTTTGTTTTGTTTTTTTATTTGAATGTTAATGAGTTCTTAAGCTTTCTTCCCCAATTCTCTCAACAGTACAGCTGCTGCTATTGCTTACGGACTAGATAAGAGGGAGGGTGAGAAGAACATCCTTGTGTTCGATTTGGGCGGTGGAACCTTTGACGTTTCCCTGCTTACCATCGATAATGGCGTCTTTGAGGTCGTGGCCACCAATGGAGATACTCACCTGGGTGGAGAAGACTTTGACCAGCGTGTCATGGAACACTTCATCAAATTATACAAGAAGAAGACGGGAAAAGATGTCAGGAAGGACAACAGAGCTGTGCAGAAGCTACGACGGGAGGTGGAGAAAGCGAAGCGAGCCTTGTCCTCCCAGCATCAGGCTAGAATTGAAATCGAATCCTTCTTTGAGGGGGAGGACTTCTCTGAAACACTTACCCGGGCAAAGTTTGAGGAGCTGAACATGGTGAGTACCAGTAACTCCTAACTACAATTGCTCACTTCTAATCTTTGTTGGAACTGCTGACTTGTATCCAGGCAGAAAGCTGAAGTAGAAGAGCACTTGGGGGTTGGGGGGAGTAGACTAACTCCAGTTTCAAGGCTGTGGGGTAGCTTGCACCTAGCAGAGCCCTAGCCCATAGTCTTCTAGCTCTGCTTTGACTCTTCTAGATCCATGCATACCTGGTACATGAGCTCTCCCATCTTCTGTGCAAGAGACCCTCTGCCACTGTTTTAATTACTTGTGTGGCTTTTGTAGGACCTGTTCCGTTCCACTATGAAGCCTGTCCAGAAAGTGCTAGAAGACTCTGATCTGAAGAAATCTGATATTGATGAAATAGTCCTTGTTGGTGGCTCCACAAGAATCCCCAAGATACAGCAGCTGGTGAAGGAGTTCTTCAATGGCAAAGAGCCTTCTCGTGGCATTAATCCAGATGAGGCTGTCGCCTATGGTGCTGCTGTTCAGGCTGGTGTTCTCTCTGGTGACCAGGACACTGGTAAGTGCAATGACAGCATAAGTCTGACTTCTTATATATTTAAAAAAAAAAAAAAAGGTTGTTTTAGCGCAGGAATGGCTACTCAGCTCCTGGAACCCAGGATTGGGACCTGGAAATAAGTCTTAGTAACACTTTAAAGTTCTTATGACACTTCAACATAGCATCATCTCATGAATCTGAGACTTGAAAAGATTAAAAAATAAGCTTCACCTTAAACCCATTTCTTCTGTTCCAGGTGACCTGGTGCTGCTTGATGTGTGTCCTCTGACACTTGGCATTGAAACGGTTGGGGGTGTCATGACAAAGCTTATCCCAAGAAACACTGTTGTGCCCACCAAGAAGTCTCAGATTTTTTCAACAGCCTCTGATAACCAGCCTACTGTAACGATTAAAGTTTATGAAGGTGAGTGTGTCTATGGTGTTTACAGCAATGGGCAATATTGTAGAGATCTAAAGCCTAGATCAATTTTTCAAGGTCATGTGATCTAGCTTCTGCATTTTATTAAGGCTCCTACTTTAAAGCTGTCATTCACAAACGGTGACTGAGCAGTCTGATTTTTATGGCAGCTCCTTAGGAAAGTGGAATAGCTCTTTTTTTTTTTTTTTTTTTCCCCCTTTTTTCCATCTTTTTAAAGGAGCAGTAGCTTTTAGCCAGTGCCACTTCTACTCCTGGAACCTAAAACTCAGTTTTTCACACTTTTAAAGGGAGGGGGACAGGACAGGAGGGAGAACTTCCTAGACTTTTTTAATTTAATTACACCCCCCCCCCAAAAAAAAAACCAAAAAAAAACCTAGGGATCTCAAAATTGCTTCCCAAACTGTGTCTTTGCAAACAGAAATAATAGGCTTGTTGGAATAGTACAAGGGAACATTACAGGACCAGGTTTTTTGGCCAATGCCTTGGGTTCAGCCAAGGGTTGTCAGTGTATGGGGTGTCTCTTTTTTTTGTTTCATCTCAAGTGGGGTGCCTGAATTCCAAGCAGGAAT